TGGCAAGTATTTCATATATATATATATATATATATATATATATATATGAAATATGAAATGGGTTTAACTGGGAAGGACAGACCCTCCGTCGGTTGGGTCCACAGCAGCATCAGTCATCGTGTCCGTGTCATTTGTCATTTCCTTGGAGACGTTTTATTTCTCAACACAGTCCTGAAGGTCTTAATTTTGAAACTTCTTCTGTTATCTGTTGGGCAGAGCAAAGAACCACTTTTATGCACAGCCTGGTTGGGAAAACAGGCATCGGGTTATTATTTTTTTGTCAAGGCAAAGCGGAAGAGGTGCTGCACACTAGTCCCCCCTGACAACATCACGTCCCTATTCCCCATAAAAATAAAAGGCAAATTTGCTAATTAAAATAGTTTAACAGACTAAATGCAACACAGGCTAAAGCGAGCTAAAGATAGAAAAAAAGATTCATTAAATATATTCTGGTTATTAACTATTATCTCACATTAGTGGCAATTTACAAATCCAGAATAATTAGCACAAAGTGGGTTTTCCTCATCAAGTTTTTCTCTTAATCAAGCTGGGTTTGTTCCAACCCAATATGATTCACATGATATTAAGCAACTGGTTATAAATGTGATACAGGGGATGCAGGAGCCGGGGCTGATCCCATGCCCAGATCTTAGACCGTGGAGTCATTCCTGCCCGCAGAGGTCAAACCTGAGACCCCGTTTTGATGTGGGGATGGAGATTTCTAGGCAAGGGAAAAAAAAAAATAATTCCCCAGACTCTGCCATGCCAGAGCTGCCAAGCCAGGACTGCATGAACCCAGCTGGTATTGCAACTGGCTTTGAAGCTGAATAACTCCACAGCATGATGGGACTTATCCTGACTCGTATTTTAATCCCGTGAGATGTCTTTAGGACACTGAAATCCTTAAAAACTTCAAGCAACTGCTTATATCCCTCTCATTTTCAGAAATCATACACTCCGCCTTTAGCTCACCGCAGCAACTGGAGCATCCCACCTCCTGCCACGCCGTATCCCGGGCTCTGTGCCCGCCTGTGGATGCGGCAGGGACAAAAACCCCGAGGTTTAAGCCCTGCGTTAGCCAGTAGGAGTCACACACCCAAATCCTGGCCCTTCTGCAGTGATTTTTCAAGTGGGAATTTATAAAGCTTCCTATAGTGAGGTTCATTAACTATATTAAAACCAGTGTGTGGTGCACACTAATAAGATGAGCGCTACCACCAAATCAGATTACGTGGGCCGGATGCTTCATTAGCAGCCGGTGATGAGACAAGGGTAGGAAAGATCTGTATTCATGGTTCAGAGCCCAGCTTAATGCACCGGGAACTGTCTGGTCCCAGCTCTTCCCCAAAAATGAGCAGATTTTCCCTCAAAATAGTCAGGATGGAGATATGCAAGATGGAATAGGACCCACGCACCGAGGAGGGTGAGACCCGCTCTCTGGATGTTGCAGGGATGATGTTGGGTGTTGCAGGGGTGATGCTGCAGGGATGCTAAAAGCAGGCAGGGAAAGGAGTGGTGGGATCTCCTGCAAGGAGCAAAGATCCCCTTGCAAGGCAGCACAACACTGGGGGGGAAATAAGCTACCAGAAGGGCTTAGTGCTCCTCGCAAGGGTCTCAAACCATCCAGTTACTCAAGCTCCGGCTTATCTTGCAGAGCCAGAAGGACTATTCATGGGCTTAAAGTTAACTGGGGTTTATGCTTTATTGGACTGGGCTTGCTGAGGGGGATTATACCCCCCTCCCACCTGTCAGCAGGGAAGGGCTCCTGCTTTTGTGCAAAGCACTAGTCAGACTGCCGGGATCCGCAAGCATTGCTGGAGTATTACACAAATAAAACCCAAACAGCACCTTCAGCCTGGCACGGCTCGGGAAATACCGTTGGTCTGGCCGAGAAGGGGACGGCAGAGTTGGGGCTCTGCAGATTAAGTGATAAATAACAATATTCCTCAAACTGGACAAATAATCCATGTGCTCTGGGGTACCCTGGCGCCTTTTCAGGTTGTATCTTTGCCCTTGGAGAAAACCCCCAAATCCTCAGGCTAATGATGGCGTTATTTCACCAAATTCAGCAAGAACAGCAGCGGGAGTGAGGAGTCAGGAGTGTTCAGGAGATTCTGCTGCTCTGGCTCCTGGAGGGATCAAGATGGATATTAAACAGCAGTCACAAAAATTAGCTGTTTTTAAACAGGCTGAGCCAAATAACTTGTATCCAAGCATTTGGAGCTGGCGAAGCAGCTTGTGAGAGTGCAAGTATTGAGTATCTCTTGAGCCCTGGACGTGGTGAAAATCCAGGAGACTGGAAAAATAGCTCTTGTTGGGCCAGTTTTTTAAGGGATAAACAAAGTGACCTGCAGAATGATGAGTCTGGCCATCTGTCACTGATCCCAAACAATATGCTGGAATGGCTGAGAGTCTTAATACAGAATTAAAAAGGAAGATATAATTGACAATAACCAACACAGAGTTAGGGGGAAAAAAAAAGATCTTATCATATTAACTTGACACCTCTTCATACAGAGTTCCACATTCGGCTGATAAAGGTAAGTGCTTGTGTAATGCTCTCCTCTAAGGGAGCTGCCTGACAGCTTGGTTAAGAAAACGGAGCCATAAAGCCAAATTTCCAGGAGATACCACAAGTCAGAAAACCAGCTGAACCCCAGTTGTGTTCACCGGTTTGCATCTCCCTGTGCTTGTTTTGCTTTCTCAAAGCATTTTGCAACCAGGACGAGAGAGACCTTGCCGAAAGGTTTCCAGCCCCAGGAGAGAAGAGCCCAGGCTTGTTTCAGATGCTGCAGAGAGATTTCCTCCTTTAATTCGGAGGCTTCTGACGTGCAGAATATCATTCAGGCACCTGACGGGTACAGCACAAGCGCTGGGTGCCAGCACCCACCCATGTGCATGCAAAGGTAGAAAACCCCTCCAGCCTGCAATGCTGCGCCCGGCTCACAGCAAACTCCCTTCACATCCCTCCTGCAAGCTCAAATTTGTAGCAGGCAAGTTCATTTTAAGCCCGAACTCCTCATGTCCCATTTTTGACCTCCTGCAACAGCTTGGGGGTCAAATCATCCCAGAGCCACAGCGGCAGCTCCAAGCAGAGACCAGTGAGGAGGGAGAAGAGAGATTTTGACTATAAATGCACAGAGATTTCAGGACAAATGGGCCATAAAGATGAAAAAGCAAGTGCAAAGATGCAGAGTGAAGAAATCACAGGAAAGGAGGATGGTTATGAGAAGGGGAGCTGTAGGGCAGAGCTGGCGTCCCCGGGAAGTTGGGGGAAACCCTGAGGTTCCCTCCAGCTGGGGGAAATAACCACAGTTAACAGGGGATGAGGGGAGGGTCTGCAGGCTCTGCAAGCTTCGAGAAAACTGAACTCCATGAAGCCTTTACATAAAAATTCTTAACTTCTTGCCCTGAGTTTCAAAACTTCCTCTTCCTTCCACAGCGTGTTTCACTGCATTTCATTTAATGAAGCTGCTCAGTGTCATTTACAGATGAGGAAACTGAGGCCCAGAGGAGCTGATCTGCCCAAAGGCACCCAGCAGGCCAACAGCAAACACCCAGCAAACACCACCGTGCTCCCACCCTCCAGGTCCAGGGGACAGGGACACACATTTTCAGGGACAACCAACCAAAATCCCCCTGAGCAGCACAGCATCACGCGCCACCCTGTGCCGCACTCAGCTCCTTCATGGCAACCAAGGCGAACGGCAAACACATCTCTCTGCAAACGCAAAGCCCACTTTGCAAAGTGTGTGTTCAGCCTGTCCGTGCCCTGTTGCAATCTTTAGCTTCTGTGAGAGCAAGACCTCAAGCCTGGACCCTGCTGCTGGCAGCTCCACTGCCCCTGCAAGGGCTGAGCCCTCGCTGCTTCCACTGCCGATCAAACTGTGACACGGCCCCAAAGGATTTTCTGTATCTATCCACGAGGGTGCTTTGGAGGAAGCAAAACAAAGCAGCTGGTACTGGTCAGCATCAAAATAAAATTGACTGCACTCTGCATCCTTGCCAGCGAGAGCCCCTCGCTAATCTAATCGTGCGAGCCACGCATCCAAACCAAGTCTTCCCACCCGGTATGTGTTAAAGATGCTAAAAATGAAGTGCAACAACTGTAGAAAAGCAACAGACATGACAGAGCTTAAACACGCTCAGAAAAGCGTCTGAATTACAAGTCTTGAGGAAATGAATCATTCTTAAACAAACCCAGCAGCGCGTTCTGCCGTCTGCATCGCTGAGCCACGGGTCTTAATATTAGTGTGCAGCGCAGTTGGGTGAAGATTATTCCCGTTATGAGTAGGGGAAGACCGGTGATCAGGAAGTATTTTAGCTACTCCTAACTCGAGTGACAAGCTGAATGAGATAGGAGACAGGTTTTAATTTGCTTGAGCATGTCCTAGTTCATAAGAAGGAGAAGAGTGACGGTGCCCTGCGGGGAGGTTCATGCAAGGTTTCCCTGCCCTGCTGCAGACCATCCTCAGCACTGAAAATTCATGCTTTGGGCAGTGATGAGACACAAATGGACCCTAAAACTTGAGGGTCTCACAAACCAGCACCTTAATTATGGAGGGAAAATCACATGGGGGCTTACAGGGGATTTCCTCTGAGCATTTTTGGCTGAGTTTTGCCAGTAGCAGGGATAAAAGTGCTCCAGCTCCAAAGGCAGCGTGGGAGCCCACACACATCCCTCTCCCGCACAGAGGATGGTTCTCATGAGCAAAAAATGGGATTTGGTTTTGCTGGTGACAAAAAGCAGGAGCCCTGGCGCCTTCCCAGCACAAAGCAGCAAACATGCATCCCGTCAGGTGGGATGAATATCGCTTTGACAGAGACACCATTACTCATTTTCCTGTTCAAGAAGCCAAGCTCGGGAGTAAAAGGTCTCAGTTGTGTCCCGGACTCAACCACAGCAGAGCCAGGAGAGATTCAGCTGGGGCAAGAGCCAGATGCTGAGGAGATGGGGCTGGGGTGGCTCTGCAGGGCTCCCCCCAGCAGCAAACAAGCCCCCCGCCATGGGATGGCTCTGCTCTACATCAGTGCTGTCCCCCCCTCCTCATGCCAGTCCTATTTCTGCCCTAAGAAAACCCTATAGCACCACCCCCAAAATGAAGCCAAAAAACCTCTCCTGCTGCCAGAGAAGTGATTCCCAGCTGGGATGAGGCACCTCGGGGCACACACCCTGAAACATCCCCAAAATGTCCCTGTCAAAGCGATGATGGCCACAGTCCCGCAGCTGTTTCCAAGGAAACCCTCCTGCCGGAGAAGCGCATCGCTCCAGCCCTCCCTGCTCAACGCCTGACTCCCACCGCCGGCCCTGGGAGAGGGCTCACACCACCCAGCACCCACAGCGCAGCACCCACAGCGCAGCACCCATCATAGGGCTCTCCCGGACCCGGCGGGTGCTGCGTTAGTGCAGCCTCTGCCATGTAAACAGCACTCGGGGCAACGGGGAAAGGCAGCAGCATCCTGTCCTTAACGCATCCTCCAGCTATACAACACCCCCCAAAGCTGAGCCAAGCGCCCCGCTCAGACTGTGGGTGCAGACCCATAGCAGGGAAGGGTGCAGAAGAGCAGTACTGGCTCCTCAGCAGTGAAAGAGTCAATTTATAGGATATTGCCCTGCCCACAGCATCCCATAATGTCCAGAAAGTCCCTGTTGCCCTGCACCCATCGCCCCTACGACTGCCTCTGCATGAGGATGTTGGTGCTCCGAGCTCTCCTTCCTGGTACATGAGGCAATCGAGACGGAAGGGCAAAACGAGTCTCATTCAAATCCCATTTGTCTGTTTGCACTCACAGGTTTGCAGCCTTACCCAGAGATCACTTGATATAAAAATGGGAAAAAAGAAAAAAAAAAGAAAAAAAAAAAAAAAAAAAAACGATGAGAGCCTCCATGTGCTCTCAACAAGATATGCATATTTTAAAAGCTTGCAGGAAGAGGGCTCCAAACTACACAATTAAACAGATTTCATGCAGAACGCTCTCTGTACACACCAACTGCTGCCAGAGACCCTTTCCCTGTGCTACTGCTCCGCCAGGAGACCCTTCCACAGCCGATGGGCTCTGGCTGGCTCCTTCCCTTCTGCCCTTTGCCTCTGCTCAACTGGCCATAAACAGGGCATTAAAAACAAAAACTTCTTTTGTCAAGCGATGGAGTAGGAACAATTGCTCGGAAAGAAATTCAACCCTCCTGGAAGAAAGAGATATCTCCAGCCCTTGTTTGTGTCCACACGCGGGGTGGGATGGATACTGCTCTGCTCCTCTGGCCACCCCAAGCACCTGAAGGGCATCTATTGTGCTGGAGAACAACAGAACCTTTCTGGAAGAGTTCAGGCCTGAAAACATACACAAAAAAAAGGGCAAATAAGCAGGAGGAAAAGGTGATGGTGTCAAAGTACCAAGCGGAGCGGCCAGGGTTAGGGTTGCTGCACAGCCCCTGCATCCCCCTGTAGCAAGGGTGTGTTTCGAGGTAGCAGCCAGGGCTGAAACAAGGGAAGATCCTAAAATACCAGCGGAGGACAAGGGAAGGGAGCCTTGGAAAGGAGGTGGAAGGCTGTACAAGGCTCTATATCACTTAGTGTCCCTGTATAAATCAAACACATAAAGCATCTGGGGAGGCAGCTACAGCCCCCCAGGGCTGCGTCCCTGGGTCAGGAGCTGCCTGCTCCCGTCCTTGCTCCCATCCTTTGGTGCCAGCAGTGTCGCTTCATCTCTCAGATGACAGTACGAAGGACAGGGGAGGAGGAGGAGGACATTTCAGAGAGCATCCCTGCCACGCCGCACATGCAGACAAGCTGGGGAGCCCACGCCGGGGACTACGTAGGGACACGGCCTTTCCCCTGCTTGTTTTCTGTGCGATCTTAAATGTCAGCCAGCAGCTTTCAGTAATGCACTTTTCTCCCATTTAATGTAATAAGCTGAGTCTAGGCAAGCCCTTCGCCTTGCCTTGGGAAGGCTCTGCAGCAGGCTGCCAGACAGCAGGCAGGCAGCTCCGCTAATGCTAATCTCCTACTGCTGGCCCTTCTAAGCACATTAGAAACAGTCAAGTCCGACACAAAGGCTGAGGCTCATCTTTAACTCCCCAGCGGCTGTTAAAACAGTCCTAAGTCCTAATAGGAGGCACATTGCAAGAGAGAAAAGAAAGTTAAATAAGCAGCTGGCTGCAAAGAGAGCAATCTTTCAGCAATCTCTCCAATTCCTGGCACAAAGCACGCGGAGAAGCCGTCAGACCATGCAGTAACAGAAAGTATTTCTCTTGCTGAATGGTACCTAACAAGACAGCACAGAGGGAAGAGGCAGACAGAAATGGGGCAGAGCACTGAAAGGGTATCTTCAGTCTTCCACTTCCAATTTTTTGGGTGTATCTTAAAGACCAAGCCGCGGTGCTTTTATATTTTTTAGCGATACATTTGGTATTGGAGCAAAATTCCAGCGGATGAAGCGGTTTCCTTGCCACCGCTCCCAGAGAGCGTCTTTTACTGTCAGTAAAATCCATTTGAAATTATTCTGCCCCAACAAAACAAGGCGAGGAGTAGTCAGGAAAGCAAACTAACGACCTGCAAGGTTTCTGCTTATTTTAGATGGCAGAGAAACCGAAAATTGCATCGTGCCATTTCCCGGAGAACATGTGGTTTCCGTACCCTGTGCAGCTGCCACTGGGAAAACGCAGACGCAAAACTTATCTGCAAACTCTCCTGAGTGGGACCGTTTCCCCTGCTTTTAAACTCAAATCCTCCTTTTAGGAATAGGTGTGCGGAAAAGCTTTAATAACAATAAAAAGTGAGAGCTCGTAGGCAGAAATGATGTTTCACCCGGTTGGCAGCCTGGGGAAAAGGCACGCTGGGGGGTTCCCAGTTATCCCAGACAAGGGATCCCAGGTTCGTTACCTCCCTCAATGCTCCAGAGCATCTCCCTAATAGAGATCCTTTGTTAGATCCTCAGCTGGTGGAAACCACGGTAGCTCCAATAAAACTGTCACACGCCATCAGCCAAGAAGCTGCTCTGCTGTTTTTTTTGGTTATAAGGGTTTTATTAACTGGGTCTAAGGCTAAGGCAAGTCTAAGGGAGAGTGTTACAAAGTGTCCTGATCCTTTTAAATCTGGTTAAATCCTAGCTAAACTCCGATTTCAGCATGGCTGGCATGTCTCAGGACAAATCCCCCTTCCCACACGCTTGGGAAAGGTGCGACTCGAAGAGGTTGGGGTCAAATCTCCCTTTGTCATAGGAGGTATTAACAGCGTCCCCGTGCAGCACACTACCTCGAAGGAATCTGGTTTTATTTAACCCAAAACCCAGCAAAAGAGAGCAGAGCTGGAGCCAAGGCGCTCAAGGCTGAGCAGCCAGGCCCTGCCTTCAGCCTGCTTTGATGGCAGAGGTCGGACCAAAGCATTAAACCGCTGCAAAAAACCTTTTTAGCACTGAATTGAGGAAATGCAGCTGAAAAAACAAAACAAAACAAAACAAAAAAACCCAAACAAACAAAAAAAAAAGCGCAGTGGGGTTATCCTCCTTTGCATAGCACTGGAAAGCAAAGTGAAATGCAAATATAAGCAGGAGCTCTAGGATGTTACCCCACTTTAACTAAGGTGCACCAAAATACCCAAGAGCAGCTGGGTAAAAAAGAAAGAAAAAGAAAACTAAGCAGTGGGAAAAGATGAGGTTTGTACCAAAAAACCAACATTACTTTATGATGTATGAAACTCTACCCCGTGCAAAGCTCACCTGATCCCATCAGATGTTCCTGTGGCCCCTGGTGCACACGTAAAGACGAAGCCGGTGTGTTTTCCCCGGCGGGGTTTTGGTTACTTTTCAATCCTGATCTTTATAGATGTGTCCCTCTTGCTTTAAAAAGCTGCCGGGGTTTCTCAGCCGACCTTTCCCACTTGCTGCTCAGCACCATTTCGCACCAGGTTTGGGGAAAGCGCCGGGTGTCGTGCGGCGCAGGGGGAGCACGGGCTGGTTCTCGGCTTTGCAGGATGAGACTCCATCCTCAGATTTCACTGCCAAGGTGTGAGCTCCTCTGCGAAGGAGAGGTGGGTTTGTGGTGTGCTTATTGCCTACGGGTGCTTTATTCGGCACAGGGGGAGCTGCGGGGGGGATGTGGCCCGGGAAGGGGGTGCCAGGATGGTGTCACAGAGCGCGGCAGAGTTACGGTGTCCTGCGGGATGACAGGGCTGGAACCATCTGGAAAAGGTTTTTTGCGGGAAGAGCGAGGACCGAGGGGGATGGGAGAAGGGATGCCATGACAACCTTTGGGGGTTTCCCAGGAAACCAGGGTTGCCATAGCAACTGCATCACTCCAGTCTGAATTAGTGACTTCCGCTGGAAGGCGTGTTCGCCACTTTAATCTTCTTGCGATAAGCGGCTGCATCTCTCCCAAACGCATTGGGAAAAAAAAAAAAAAAAAAAAAAAAAAAGAGGAAATATCCCTTTGTCTCCAGCTGGGTGGGTTTGAGGCTGCAGAGCCACGGCGAGAAGCCCGTCACGGATCCTGCATCCCCCGGTCCACACCGGCATCACTCCCAGCGCTCCGCTGGCTCCTAAACTGTTCCATTGTGCCTTTTGCCTCCCTCCTCCCCGCACACAGACCCGCTGCACGGCCGCAAATCTGACATTAGATAAAATAATGCCGTAGGGTTACAGGGGAAGAAAATTAAGAATAGAAAACAAGGGCTGGTTGGGGTTTTTTTCTATTTAGATCAGCACCGATTGCACACGGTCTCCGACCAGATTAGAATTTCATAAACTAACGGGGGAGAAATGGGAAACTGTGCTGTGCCCGTAATGGCACACCACACATTTTAATATTAAGCATCATTTAACAATGTGGTAACAGAGACTCTGCAAAATTAAATGGTTGTTTCCTCCCAACCCCCTTCCAGTACGCTCTGCAACATGTTTTCCTCATCTCCCCACCCAATCCGGGTTTGTTAATCCAACAAGTGACTTTATGTGATGGAAGGGAAATCGGCTACACGCTGCCTTTAGGGAAAGGGGGGGGGAAATTCGGGAGCAAAGCAAGAGGTCCCCAAAAACAGGAAAACAAAAGCAGCCCTGCAACACGTTGAAGAACAAACACCTGTTTCGACGGTGAGTGTGTTTTGTCTTCATCTTCCTTCTCTTTACCCTTTAGCTGTCCTCTTCTTCGGAGAATTTTAAATCCTTTTTTTTTTTTTTTTGGATCTTTAGAAAGGAAGGATCTAAAAAAATAAACGTATAAAAACGAGGGCACACACAGACCGACGATGGTGCATGTTCCACACAATACCGAGTACACAGTCACTTTGCATTATTATTGTTATTATTTTTTTACTGCATCCTCAGATTTTGTTGCTGTTTGTTTGGTTTTGGTTTTTTTAAACATCCGTAAAGATCTTTTTGATGTTCACACAGTTGGGATTGTTTGTGGTTGTGCAGTTGCCTGTCTTAAAGGCAGCCTGTTTGAATGCACTGTGGTTGATTCCCCCTTCCTCGATCACCATGTACTCGGACTTGCTGAGGGTGGAATTGCTGCGAGCCTTCCTCATCTCCTCGCTGGACGAGAGGTGCTGGCAGCTCCCGACGTGCATGTATTGGGCTTGCTCCTCGCCTTCTGTCTCCCGGTGGTAGAAATAGTTGAAATTGGAGACTATCACAGGCACGGGGAGAGCAATGGTTAGCACCCCCGCGATGGCACAGAGGGACCCCACAATCTTGCCCCCAATAGTGATGGGGTGCATGTCCCCATAGCCCACTGTGGTCATGGTCACCACCGCCCACCAGAAGGCATCGGGGATGCTACTGAAACCTGAACTGGGGTCATCGGCTTCTGCGAAGTAAACGGCGCTGGAGAAGAGGATGACGCCGATGAAGAGGAAGAAGATGAGCAAGCCCAGCTCCCGCATGCTGGCCTTGAGGGTCTGCCCCAGGATCTGCAGCCCCTTGGAGTGACGGGAGAGCTTGAAGATGCGGAAGACCCTGACCAGCCGGATGACTCTGAGGATGGCTAAGGACATGGCTTGCTGGCCGTTGCCTTGCCTCTCAGCCAGCTCGGTGCCCAGCGTGATGAAGTAGGGAATGATGGCCACAATGTCAATGATGTTCATGATGTTCTTGGAGAAGGTGGCCTTGCTGGGGCAGGCAAAGAAGCGGACCAGCAGCTCGAAGGAGAACCAGATGATGCACAAAGTCTCGACCACAAAGAAAGGGTCGGTGAAGGACGACACCATGGAAGCAGACGAGGACGAGGAGTTGGTGAAGACATCAGGTGGGAGAGGGCCACTGCCCGTCCCGAAGGTCCCTCCAGTTCCCTCATAGTCGTGGTCATCCCTGAATTCAGGCAGGGTCTCCAGACAGAAGATGACAATAGAGATAAGGATGACCAGGACAGAAACGATGGCAATGCCTCGGGCCGGCCCAGAGCTCTCGGGGTACTCGAAGAGGAGCCACACTTGACGCTGAAACTCTTTGTCGGGAAGTGGCCGCTGCTCCTCCCGAATGAATCCCTCATCCTCCCGAAACTTCTCCATGGCCTCCTCCCCTAGCTGGTAGAAGCGGATCTCCTCGGAGAAGATATCGATGGGGACGTTGACGGGTCTCCGGATGCGCCCACCCGACTGGTAGTAGTAGAGGATGGCATCGAAGCTGGGCCGGTTGCGGTCGAAAAAATACTCATTGCGGAGGGGGTCGAAGTAACGCATCCTCTTACGTGGGTCCCCCAGCAGCGTCTCGGGGAACTGCGAGAGTGTCTTCAGCTGGGTCTCAAACCGCAACCCCGAGATGTTGATCACCACCCGCTCACAGCACTCGTGCTCCCCACCGCCCGCGGGCTGGCCGGCGGGGACGGCGGCCGGAGTCGGGGGGTGATCGTAGCGGTCTCCTCCGAGCAAAGGATGAGGATGCTGTGGCTCTTCCAGCAAAGGGTCTCCGCCACCGCCACCCCCCACCACAGTCATGCTGCCTTCCTCCCCTTCTTCACCCTCTTCCTCCTCTTGGTCGGGGACCGGCTGGGGGGCGGCGGGGGGCAGCTGCTCGGTGTAGCCCAGGTTGTGGTGGCTGCTGGTCGAGCCGCCCCGCGGATGCCGGCTGGTGGAGGAGGCAGCCGGAGAGTAGAGCAAGCTCCGGCGCTCGTCCATAAAGGTGTGGGGCGGAAGGGGAAAGGGGGTGGGGAGGACCGGAGAGGCGGCAGCCGAAGCCTCTTCTTCCTCCTCTTCCTCCTCCTCCGGGCGGAGAGGGAGAAACAGCCGCCCAACTCCTCCAGCGGCTGCCGCTGCTCTGAAGAGCTGAGGCTCTTCTCAAAAAATCCGCCCCCAGCTCTGGCACCGCCTCGCTCAGTCACCGCTCCCGGAGACACCCACCAGCACCCCCGGCCCTGCCCCGCAGCCCCCAGCAAGCCGCGGGCATCCCCTCCCCTGCTCCTACCCCGGGGGGGCCCGGGGTACCCCCACCCAGGGGCTTCGGTCCCCTCCCGGGGAGCATCCTTTGATGCTCAGACGGTTGCAAGCAGGGAGAGGTGTTTTTTTTTTCCTGGCAAAACCGCTGCCTAGAAAGAGTTTTTCTATCCTTCCCCCGAAAAGGTGAAATGTAATTTTTATTATTAATTTGGGGGTTTGCCTGTTTGTTTCAAGTCACCGTCTCAAGCCGCGGCAGGGCGGTGGGTAATGGAAAGCAGACAGCGGCAGCCGGAGCCGCCAACAGTTGTTTTGAATCAGCGTTTCAGCTAGGGCTGGGGATATTCTTATTTATTTTTTTTTGTCTGTATAGGAGAGAGAGAGAGAGGCTCTGTGTGTGTGTGTCTGTGTGCACACACGTGTGTGTCCATGTGTGTGTTTGCACACGCGTGTGTGTGCGTGTGCATCCCCCCCCGCAAAATAAACACAGAAGTGAAGCTGAGCCAGCCCTCGACCACGGCAGTTTCAGTCTGAACCTAAATCTGCATTTCAGACTTTCCTGCAAGAAAGCCAAAAGGCTTCAATTTTATTTTTTTTTTTCTTTCTGACTTCAATTGATCTTCTTATGCAAATAGTTCAATTTTGGTCAGAAGGGATTTTTTTAAGGCAAAAGCCTCCTCTGCAGGAGCCCAGTGCTGGAAAACACTCCATCCCCAGGAGATGTGCATCAGGGACAACCTCTGATCTTTGCCCTCACAGCCCCCCAGTGGGTCCCCATCTTCCCAAACCACCCGACAGCAGAAGCGCTTTAATCCCCAGCCACATGCCAAGCGGGGTTTAGGCAATTCAGGGAGTTCCCAGCTTGGGTAAGAGCCCGACCATGAGGGTCGGGGAGAGGCGAGAAGGGTGACAGCGCTGCTGTTCCCACGCCGGCCGGGTGGTCCCGCCCTGATGGAGGTTAAAACCCCTCCACCAGCCCCACTTTAGCTCATCCCTGTGGTTATTTTTAACCAGCACAGCCTCCAGAAGGTAGGGAGAAAAACTGATGAAAAGATCAAACTTATTTATACTTTAAATTAGAAACAAGCTGTACAAAATATACAAACCAAGGCGGGGAAAACAATAAATATTGGTGTACAGCTGACTCCGGACTGTAAATGGCAGATTATCAGAGCAGATGAGGTCTGAGTGAGCCCAGCCCACCTTCCTTTTTTCTGACAGAGGGGAAAAAACCCTCTGCCACTAGAACTCAGAGAGGTTTCCTGCGGGAATGAGCGAGGTCCTGCAGGTGAAAAGGTGGAGCTGGCTGTGGGAGCCAGCCCAAGCCAGGCTGAGCTGCCCGCTCTGCCTCTGTCCCCACCAACCTCCCGGTGCTGGCGTGGCCCAGCGCTGGGTTTTCACACCAGCAGCGAGGCAGCAGCTTGGTGCGGCCGTTGGAAGACATTCACCCGCGATCACACACAGAGACCCTCGTCTCCAGGCCACATCGCCTTGCCCCAGACTTGGGACACGTGTCTCTTGTTGCCAGCATCCTTGACGTGAAACCCCACTTCTGAGTCCCGTTTACTTGAGGCTGCAGATCTCTGGGAGAGGAAGTTGGGGCAACTGGTCCCCAGCCTTGCTCCCCTATCATTCCTGCAGCAATTAACAGTGCTAATCAGCAACGTGCTTCCAGCAAGAGCACCCACTTCTCCTTTCCATCACACAGCATGTCCCAGACATCTCAAACCACAGATAAAGCAGGAAGCAAAGCCCCGGAGCATCATTAACCCTTGAGCTGCCATGTAAGCTGAGAAAAATTCCTGGAAGCAGCAGTTCACATCCAAATTTGAGGCTCTATTTTCCACAGGTTTCATCATTGTGAAATAACCATCATCTCCTCAGTACATACATGTGTGTAGCAGTTAAAAAGTTGTCTGGCTCATCTCTTTCCTCTGCTAGGATTTCTGCCAATAAATCACTGTCATCTGGTCTAAGGCAAACAAACAAGGCTGCTTTAAACCATAAACATTTATTGATGACAAAAGGCTTGAAGCAACAAGGCATAACTTCCACAATGGCAAGTTTACTCTGGATCTCAGTCAGGGGCAAACTCTTTGGAAATTATTGAGAGGCCACAGGCCTTTGGGATGCTGATAGGAAAAGCTCTTCCCTTAAAAGCAGGAGGAGGATTAAGCCCTTACCCCCATCAGCTGCAACACAGCAGCAGACATTAACCCTCGAGCTCCTGGCAGCTTTGTGCTGGCTCAAAGGATTTCTCCCCCAGGCCCTGTGTGGCCTCCTGGCCCTGTTTAATCCTCCGCTGCCTCCACGTAATCCTATCAAAGCCAATTAAACTGTGCCAGGCGAGTGGCCGGAGAGGCAGATCACCTCCTCCCTGGCAAAGTCCCCTCAGCACCTTCCCTCTCGTGGGGTCCCCAGCCAAGGTTTGGTTCAGCATCAGGGATACAGCAAGAGCATCACCCCCTGCTCAGCACCAGCCCCACACGTGCTCCCAGGAGGGGTTTGCATGCAGGCACCGCACCAAGCCCAAAATTTATCAAGCAGGACAGAGGTGGCTTAGGTCACGTCCAAAACCAGGAGGTCTGAGCACAAGGGCAGAGGCAGGGGAATGTCCCAGGGGAAGGGACATCTCTGCAATGTCCAAGCTGACCAGCGCTTCCCTGCAAGCTGGGAGCTGGCTGTGTGAGGTGCAGCATCAATCCAGCTCCTCAAGGCTGTGGCTCTTCTGTCTAATGCAAGTTGGCCCAGCCCTCCCTCTGCAAGTTTCCCTCTGCTTTTTCATCCAGCTCTTCTGCTGCATCTGGTCTCAACAAATTCAATTTTATTCCTAACGGCCATTTAAGAAATCCCCCTGCACAATGATCTATAGGCTGACCTGTAACATCAGATGCGGTTTCTACAAAGAAGTAGAGCAAGCATTACTCTTTTCCTCCTTTAATGGCCTTCTCAGGGTGGATTTACAAGCAGAGGGGACACACAGCTTCCCTCTCCGCACAGCCAGATCCTGACCACGAGGGGACCCCCCCCAGTGTCCCTCCCCAGGGGGACACGGGCTGCACAAAACATCTCAGGATCTTCCCCCCAGCCCTCAGCCATTCCCACGCATGGGGCTGCCTTAGCACCCTGCTTCCACCTTGAAATCTTGCCTCCTTCTTGCTGAACCCCATCACCTCTCAAGCAGCCTTTTGGGGTTGTCCTTCTCCCACCAAACCCCTCGTTGTCCCCCGTTAGCGCCAGGCAGCTGGGCAGAGCGTTACAGCATCCAGCCCGGCTGCGGCAGCGAGCGGGATCTCGCCCGCTCTCCCCTCCCTCGTGTTTGAATGGGAACCCTGCCTCCATTGATAAATCTGGGACAAATCTGCTATTCTTTATTTCGGAGGATCAGAAACCTTTCAGCGCAAACGCTGTTACAATAATACCTTAATGCACTGTAAATGTATTGTCTCTCCTCCCACAGTGGGGAACACACAAAGCCCCAACTGCTACATCAAGGCAGCGCAGTATTAACTCACTGGAGAGGTTTCTCGTGTCATCTCAGAAACATGAGCTCTACCACTGCCGCTCATAACATGGACAAACATTACAGAAAAAGGCTCAAGGTTGTCACTCAGGTCACTAATCACTGCCTGAAACCTTTGCAGACAGGACTGCAGAGGACTGTTGGCATCAGACAGTCCAGCATCAACCCAACTTCTCAAGACTAACTTGGAGCAATCCATACATTATGCAGCTACAACATGTATTATACAGCTAAAACAGATGAACAGATGCTTTAACCCTGCTCTGCTTGACTTGCTTCAGCCAAGTTCAGCTGCTTGCCCTCCCTGTAACCTCCAAGTGGTTCTTCCCCATCACATTATCCTTGATTTAATTGTGATTATTTGCTTGGCAACTGGGGAATAAGTTACACAACGCAACCTCCAGCTCCAGACTGACCAGTGCCATCAACCTCACCTCCTCCCTTGTGGGGACAGCAGGTGGGACCATCCCCGCAGTCCCTGAGGCTCACACCCTTCCAGGAGAGCCGTGATGTTACCCCAACGTACACCAAGATGGGGTCACTGACCCCATTCCAGAAATCGGGCATCCCATCCCATCTCCTCATCAAGCCACCAAAGCATCCGATGAGGGTTACCCCTCTGGGGTAACCGCCGGGGTAAGACAAATTCTCTGCTGATGCCGCCCAGGGAGGCAGCAGGAAGGATGGGAACTGAATTTTGATTTCCCAGGACAAATTTAGTGCTCTAACTCTGGAGCACACAGTCCCTATTCTTGTCCTTGTCTTAGTCAGACTCTGGGTGTAACTCAGTCGTGGAGTGAATCCTTCAGTCTCTCTGTGCCTCAGTTTCTCATCTGTACATTAAGAGAATATTTCTCGCCTCCCACTTAGAGTCTATTTAAATCCTACACCAGAAGCCTTTCGCTGCACTCATGGTTGCAGAAAATGAGAAAGATACAGAAATTTTGGAGAAGGAGGAAAATTCAAATGCTGCCTAAATGCTGTGGCTTGCTTAGCCCTCAGCTCAGGTGAAGAGGATTGCTGTGAGCTCCATAGCAATACTGATGCCTCTCTCTAACAGGGTATTTAGGACCAAGCACAACAGGACCCCAAACACCCTGGGATCCTCTCTGACTGCTGCAGTCCGGCGACTGAAGGCAGCTCATCTCTAGAGAACAGTCATTATTGTTAATGGATTGGGGGGGGGAGTGAAAATTGAACTGCTAACCCAAAATAACTGAGCATAGACAGGAGCTATTTTTCATAATTTTTTTTTTCCACGATGCTGTGGATTTAGCAAGATTATTACTTGGCCAGCAAAGAACAAGTTTTGGTGGCTAAATAAGACCAGCCAAGTTATTCTGCATCGCTCAGTTAC